TAGATCTTTCCTCAGTGTTTATGATGGTATACAATAGCAATGCTGCACAGCTCAGTCAAAAGACCCCTGAGACAAACAGCACTGTGTTGCCTTTCCTAATCCTGCTATGTATATTGGAGCTCGATTCTAGACAAATGTGCTCCTGTGCTTATTCTGTCACCTGAGGGCAGCTGTATTGTGTTATCCTCAGGTGCACACAGGGGAGGACGGGAAGCACTTTTTATTTGCTCAGCTTTTCATACTTGCAAAAAGGAGGATTGTTTCAGGAACTGCTGAAGACTCAGTGTCCCCGTCCATTGCAATCAGCCACAGTTTATGTGATTAATGAAATCGTTAATTGTTATTTGATGACTTTAACCATTGTAATTACTTTCTGAGACATATTTTGCGAGAAAAAAGGGTTTTCGTTTACACTTTTTATGGACTTTGACATGGTTCAATTGCCTTAGGAAAGTGGGACAGGACCATTTCGAGAACATATGAAAGGATTAATAATTGCACCGTGCTCTAGTCCTCGCGTGATTGGTTTTGCGGGTATGTATGCTTATGTTAATATTTCCCACTGATGTGGGAGTTGTATTTAATTAATTTACTCCACTAATCTGAAGGAGCTGTCATTGTCACTGTGATCAGGATGAGCAGGGGTCTACGTGCTGAGGAGGAATTTTCCCTTTTTTATGAACAACATGGTTAAGTCCCCACATTTATAGTGTCACAAGATCATATACGTTTTTAGATCTGTTGATGACCCATCAACATCTATCTGAGCATCAGTATCTTCCCATCAGCAGTTACCCTGTAGGGTGGATTGCATTGAACTCTTTAGTCGTGTCATTATTGCTGCCCACAGAAATGTGTTTCTGAATGTATTTTACGCTGCCGAACACAATCTCAAGTTGCCCCTAATATTCGTCAACTTTATTGAAAATAGCCTGCTTTCAGACTCACGTGCAGTGAAGCATGGAGAGGCCAGCTGTTGTAGAAATAACACAAGTCTCCTGTCTTCTAACAGTTAGGAGGGAAGTCCTTAGCTATGGAAACTAAAGTCTCTGCTGGTATTGGTATTATTTCAAAAAGTAATCAAAGAAAAGTTTATTATTTTTCCTCCTGTATGTGTAATTCTGTAGTATCTATCTATCTATCTATCTATCTATCTATCTATCTATCTATCTATCTATCTATCTATCTATCTATCTATCCATCCATCCATCCATCCATTCATCCATCCATCCATCCATTCATCCATTCATTCAAAACGTTTCTCTTTGAATGATTTGCAAGATAGTTTACATCTATATTTACTTATGTACATTACGTGCATTTGTTGGCACTTTCCTAAGGCGTCCGAGAGATGCAAACACGCAACAGTAGCCCAAAACACTTCCAAGAGGAGAAATGTTTTTTTTTGTGGTTATACAGTAACGTGTATGCACCTGTCAGCCAAAGCACTTTACTATATTTAAAGGCATTTTACTGCAAAATCAAATACAAAAAATATACTTTCATGTTATGATTTTATATACTAATTTCATGATAATGAGTCTAAAGCTAAAATGATCTGTTGTCATGCTTTTGGTGTTTTTAACTATGAATGAGAACTCCATTCCTACCAGCCGCATGCTTCACAGTAAAAGTCTGCCAGCTACAGTTACAGTGTGAAGAAGCTGCAGGATGAGTTTACATTAACCTCATGAGAGAGCTTTAGAAACTGTGTCATGTGAACTATTATTATGTTAGCGTTGTCCCATTCAAATGACCAATATTTAAATTGTACAATCCTATAGGATTAACGGTGTTACTATTTACTTTAGAATTAGCTGTTAGATGGAGAACATTAACAGGGAGAAATGTCTTCTGTTTAATATAGAGAGAGTATATGCTTTTCTTTCTCTAGTACATGTAGTACAACAAAATGTTGAATCCTGCTCACCGTATCTGTAACATCATGTGGGACTGATTATTTCAGTGTGAGGGTCTCGAGAAACACAATAGAGGTTATGTGCAGCTTGCATTGGCCTCGGCCCACTGATTTATTTAATAAGTATTCACATCAGGGTCTGCAGTGTCTCTCATGCTGTATATAGATTTTTATTTGGCAGCCAGCAGAAAAACTGTTCTGTTTCTATTTTTGTATTCAATGTTTCACAAGTGTGTGTTTGGTTGTGCATTGGAAAGTGATGCATGCTGGATTAATATTGAGGGATTCATACTGATCGTTGAAACGTTTGCAGCATGGAAAATTGAAATGTGATACTGATACTTGCTGATGTGGTAATGCAACATAATAGACATCATTTTAAAAGGGGCCCGGTGATGCTCATTTTCAGTTCATATTTATATTTTGTGCCTCTACTGTGACATGTCTCCATGCTTTAATGTTCAAAAAGCTCTTTATTTTTCTCATACTGCCTGTGCTGCAGCACCTCTTTTCACCCTCTGTCTGAAACCAGAGCCCAGTCTGCTCTGATTGGTTAGCTGGCCGGCTCTGTTGTGATTGGTCAACCACATATAGATGTCCCGCCCCTTAGCCTATCACGTACAATGTGTTGAAACACTAGCCAATAGAAGCGCAAGTGTTACATAGTGATGTCACCATGTTACAAAGGCAAACAAAGGACTCCAATGGAGGCTTCAGGCAGGGGGGGGGGGGTTGTGGGATTTGGGCCTTTGCAGACCATTTATTTTAATTGTTTATTTAGCAGGGACAATGCACAGTAATGAACACTTAAAACACTCAAATGTGTCAAGCGTAACAGTGCCAGATTTAGCTTTTTACATGCACAAAAACCTATACAACTCACCCCAAAAAAGCTTTAAAGGGCCCTTTAAGGGATTCATCACTTTGTCACACTAGTGTTCTTGGTTAGTGCTTCATAGTCGCATGACATATTCCTCATTTTTTGCTAACAAAAGGGGAGAAAAATCATCAACAGGAGTGTGTGTCATGCAAACCCGCAGCCTCATGAGACCAAACATTGCAGACACCTCATTCTGTCTCTGCTGTGAGAGGATGATATATACTCTGTCGTGAATATTTCAGTAACTAGTATTTGGGCATTTAGCACACTTGCAAAGCAACAACTGTTATTTCAGAGCCTTTTGTAAAGTGGGCTAACAGTATGAGAGAGGCGAGGAGAAGATGATAGATGCTGAGAGATCGCTGCATGCAGAGGAGCTGGTTTCAAGTAGCAGCAAACCTTTCATTTGAAATAATTTCATGTTTCCCTCCAACAATTCTACGTTCTGCCAGAGCTATTATCAGAGCAGTGGTGGCAACATATTATTCAGAGGATGGCAGCCATTCTCTTCTTTCTTCAGGGCGGACAGACTGTTTTTGTTACATCACATTATTAGTTTACAAGAGGGATGAAATACCCGTGTTCACAAAGAAGAGCTGCCAATCATTTATTTGAAGATAATGCAAATGTGCTCATGTGCCATTCTGTATGCATTGCATGAGAACATTAAAGCATCTTTATTTGTTAAGCTTATTAAAGAAGGAACTATCTCATAAAGGAACTCTTCTTTCACCAGAATCACACAAACCTGAAGTTGAAGTTTGAAAACATTTTTAATAGAAATAAAATTTTGTATAAAAAAAAAATAAACATGCTTCACACACTTCATTAGTTTTCATGAGGTTTTACAAATACATATTCAGATAGCCAGGCACTGTATCTTTTTGTACATTTCCCCCAATTTTAGGATATGTCAGGACATAAAGCAGACATCATCAATCTATTTAATAACATACATTAACTTGCCATTTAATTTGGTCAGCACTCACATTTTATTCTGCAACACAAATGGTGTTGAAAGTAATACAGAGGGAGGCATGAAGAGCAGCATTGAATTTACAACACAAATGACCCACAATGTTTTCCCCCAAGACATTAGAGGGCTTTTATACCGCACGAAGCCAACAACTAATCTGTTCAGCGAGCTGAGAGTGATTAATAGACATATTGTATACTTTTGCTATCAGATTTTCATCTGCCTTACACCTCCTCCTTATCATGAGAGTGCCTGAGGAGGACATGTAGAGTAATGAATTTTCTCAATAGCTGGTCCATTATGGATATCACCTTCAGGTCATATTGCACAAACCTCTCAAGGGCATACTTCATCTTAATTCCCCTGCTAATGGATGTACAGTTAAGCTTTACCCTTACACTACGTGTGACCAAGAGAAAAGCTGGTGGCAGTGATGGGGGGGGGGGGGGGGGGGGGGGGGCGGGGATCATCCTGGACCACAGCTGACAGTTACACCTCCTGGATAAAATACGGTTGATTTTAACCACGGGCTGCTGTTTGAAAGCACATACAGGTATGTGGAGGGCAGTGGCAGCCTTGGGCTAGCTGGTAATACAAATCATGGCCTCATTTAAGCACAGATAAATAATCACTCACTAGACCTTCACCATTTGAGAACAGTTTCAACGTACAACGGGCTCATGCCCAAACAATTGTTAACAACGCTGCAACAGAGTTTAAAACGCATTCCAAATATATTATTTTTTCTTTTTCTTATTTTTTTCTTTTAACAACACAACACAGGATTTTGAGGCATGCGCGAAATTGGCAGAGACCGTCTTAGAGTCCTTCTTTATTAATCCTGGAAAATAAAAAAACATGGAGTCCAGTTCAGATTTGTTGCATTGTTGAGATGATCGCCCTTTCCAGTAGTTTTACTCATGAGACCAGATGACATATAGAAAGAAAAACAAACACACCCCTCCCCCCTTGTCCATGTTTTCATGCCTTTTTGGTGTTGATTAATCCCTTGTGATGCCTTGAGGGTTTTCAGAGAGATTACGGCTTTTCAAAACTGGCAGACAACACAGAGAACACCTGAACATATTCTTGATTTTAGTTCAGTTTCCGTCAACACGGCTCAAGATAACGGAGAAGTCTAGGAAAGAGGACACAGCTGAAATGTAAACACTCAAAAGTAAAGCTCCGTCCATCAGTCTCCCGGCCTCTGCCATGCAAGTATTTTATTTTTTTTTGTGTGTGTGTATTCTCTTGAGGCAGACAGAAGATGGGACCTTGCATTTGTACGGTTATCTGTTCCCCTGTCTGTCGGTCCCTGTGGTCTCTCCTCACTTCACGTCTTTGGGCTGGTGGTGATCTCCACCCGTACAATGACACATCAATTTTTTATGCCGGCTGTGTGAAACTCCACTGCGTGTTTTTATTGTAAATCCTGAATTATGATGAGAACCTTTGTCCCTTAGATTGCATGATTGCTGTAGCTGATGTATGTTTGCTTTGTTGGGTAATCTGAAAGAGAAAAATTAGATTAGAATGAGGTCAAGTTGAACTGGGTGTGACCCTAGATAACAAACTGTCCTTCACTGCAAACATCGCTGCTACAACCCGCTGCTGCAGATACACGCTTTACAACATCAGGAGGATACGTCCCCATCTGACCCAGAAAGCGACGCAGATTCTGGCCCAGGCTCTCGTCATCTCACGCCTAGACTACTGCAACTCCATCCTGGCTGGTCTACCTGCATGTGCCATCCGACCTCTGCAGCTCATCCAGAATGCAGCGGCTCGCCTGGTCTTCAACCTTCCTAAATGTTCCCACACCACGCCGCTCCTCCGCTCACTTCACTGGCTTCCAGTAACTGCTAAAATTCACTTCAAGACACTGGTACTTGCGTACCATGCTGTGAATGGATCTGGCCCTTCCTACATCCAGGACATGGTTAAACTGTACACCCCAGCACGTGCACTCCGCTCTGCATCGGCCAAATGGCTCGCTGCACCAGCGCTGCGAGGGGGACCCAAGTTCCCATCAGCAAAAACATGTCGGTTTGCTATCCTGGCTCCAAAATGGTGGAATGAGCTCCCCATTGAAATCAGGACAGCAGAAAGCCTACACATCTTCCGGCGCAGACTGAAAACTCATCTCTTTCGACTCCACTTCGAGCGATAGAAGCACTAACAAAGAATTGCTAACAAAGCACTTATATACTAACAAAGGACTGGCTTATCTAAAGCTATTTGAGTAGCACTTGAAATGTTTTGGCTCTATGAAACCTGATGTACTTATATGATTCTGTTTTCTTCAAGTTTGTATCTTGTTGGTCGAATGCACTTATTGTAAGTCGCTTTGGATAAAAGCGTCAGCTAAATGCAATGTAATGTAATGTAACTGTAGTAACCTGTGAGATAAGAAAGACTTCTAAAGGTGGAGTGGGTGTTTTGATCTGCCTTTTTTTTCCACAAGAGGAAACGCCAAATAGTGCAAACATGTGTTTAGTCCTAATGCTGCAGTGTAGCAAAAGCCAATAAAATTCTCTAATAAATCCTCAACTCTGGCTTTATTGTTGCCCTCCCTAAATGTCTGTTCTACCTACAGCAGATGGGGGTTTCAGTAAAGCCTCCTGCCCCCCCACACCTTATTTTCCTTCAGCCATCAGGCTTCAACTTCCCGCTTGTCTCCGCAGACCGTGTTAGCTGATTCGCTGAGGTGGAGCAGATAAATCCTGACATATCGCCCACCAGATCTCGGCAGTTGTGGGCGCCGGCCCAGACAGGAATTTTTCAATTTCATCAAGCCATATATCCACAGTGGCGATGACAATGACAAATGGTGCTTATTCAAATAGCCATGCACTGTAAAGCCCTGTAAACGGTAACCCCATCAGAATAAATGGCTGCTGGCTATCAATACTGCGCCTTTGCCTTCTCGCCACTTATTGTAACAAAAGGCCCTATTAACCCTCCACGGAAACTTAAAGCAGTGGAAGGAATTAATGTTGCACCGTGTGTTTACATGTGGCTATTCCGATTGGCCCCACCCCCATTGTTGCATTGTCACACAGTTTATATGGATTTCTGTTTTCTGTGTTAACGGGGAATATACGGTTAGCTCTTTTATTCTACTGTGAAGGGAAACATTTCTCAGCAGCGTGGGAAAGTAAGGAGTAAACACAGCTTTTAAATGTGTGACAATAGGCTCCATTTCCTTTTTATAACAGGCCAGACGCAGCAAAATCAATATCTGACATGACCCGTTGAACCATTCTCAAACGGTGAGCTGATGAAGAGCGTTGTGGACATCACATGAGTCATTTCTGCTGACTCAATTACTCAAGTCATCATTTACTTTACGTGTGTGTAACTGATACAGTCGCATAATTGTATTGATAGTCAGATTCGTTGGGGGCACGTCAGAGGCGCTCAGCTGTTTCAGATAAGAAAAATGTGTTTTTTCAATTAGTTTTAACTCTGACTGCAAACAATGATTTTAATAGTTGTTCTCTGGATTATTATTATTATTTTGATTTATTGTTTTTTTATACAGTTCACATTGTTCTAGAACCCAAGGTGAGGTCTTGAAATTAAGTGTTTTGTCCAAAACACAAAGATATTATATTTACACATAAAAAGTTCCATATACTTACATTTGAGAAGCTGAATCTCATAAATGACTATAACCACAGTTTAATAAGTAGTTGAAGTCATTGATGAACACATATATGTGTGGTTAGATTAGGTCATTGGTGCCCTCAACCACATTAAGACTGAAGTCATTTATCTGACTGGTTCACACATTTTGATAGCCTTTTATTTTAGATATAATCATTTCTATTTTGTAGTAATGCTGCAATATCAAAGCATATACTTTTTCTGTTTATTAACATTTTATGTATACTATAATATGTGATAATGGTCAGATTTCACCTGTAGCCTCTAAATTCAGTCAAATATTGAAAATAAAATGACATAATACAAATAATGTTTCACTTGCCATATGTGAAGGTTTCACTGGAGTGTAGTTAAAATGTTTAGCAGAATGTGTTTCTTTGTTGACAACAGACTTCACCCCCCACACTCATAACTAAGTATCCTATAATGCTTCATCTGACTTGCAAACGATATCCACCCCCCCCCCCCCCCCCTACCCCACAAACAACAATGGGACAATTACTGGATTCTATGAAGTGTTAGTTAACATACCACACATCTGCTAATCAGTGATTATTTTTCACTGTGCTTCATATGTCCGCACCAATGTGTTTGCTTTACAGAAACTGAACGACAGAATATGCCAGAAAATAAATACAACTGGGTGCTTTTAATCCTCATTAGCATGCATGCTCTTACTTTGTGTTTCCAGGCTTTCGCACAGCTCGGTCTTGGCCTCTCCGTTGGGTCTGAGTCCAGCCTTGGGGTTGAACTTGTTGGACATGGTGGCGGCAGTAACCACCGCCTTCAGGCTGCGTGTGCGCTTGGGCACATTCTGCTCGGGGTGGAAGAGAACCACGTAGACCTTGGGCATGTAGAGCAGCCCGAGAGACACGGAGGCGCTCAGACTCACGGAGATGGTCAGCGTGGTGGTTTGGATGTACATCTGCAAAACAACACAAACAGTTTAGCTCTTTTATTAGATTTGTCAGATGTTTCTATATGTGTAGAGTGACATCTGCTGTGTGTCATTCTGATTAGAGCATCCAATGACGCGTAGGTTGGCCAAGCTGTCGTTTAAGTATTTATACTGCGTCCAGTATGCTGTACGCTCCATACTATTTACTGCAAGCGGTGTTATAAAACTTGCTTTAAATCAGCATCTCATCTGCTTTATGGCGCGTAAGCCGAACCAGCCTACGCCACCTTGTTTGTTTAATTTTCTGCCGTGCTAGTTTTAATATGGCCATCACGTCAACCTGCACACAGATTTGATAATGGCAGTGTATGAGATATTTTTCTGATTCATAACAAGCAGACCGATAAAAAAAGAGACAAGTTTGTGAATATTTTCCACATGGTCAGATCCTCTGAATGATGGGGGAGGGCGGCGCAGAGTATTATTCCCACTCATTCCATTTTAATTGTTTGCAAAGCTGCTGTGTATTAATGAGTCATCTTCAGGGAAGCATTAAAGACGAAGGCAAGCTGTACATCCTACAAGGTTCTGAGTGCTTGACTGGCCATTTGAGAAGAAATACTTTGAATGGTTACAATTTAATGATACCGCAGACTTCAATGCATCTAAAGTATGGCTATTGTCCACAGTATCCAACGTATGACATGTCTAATATATGTAATATAAGCGCTAAAATAAATACCATGAATTAAACATAACTGTATTCTTTACAGCAGAAACTCTTAAAACTCTTTGTGTTTGCCACCTTTTTCTAAAAGTTCCGTGCTGCGTTCACATCATTTAGACCCAGGGTTTCCAAACTTTTTTCACTGAGGGCCACATACAGAAAAACATATGAAGGGATTGGCCTCATAAGTTAAGTTATACAGTAAGTCAGCAAAATCAATCAAATGTAGGTCAATTATGCTTGATACTTGGATGTGCTTTAAGAACAAAATCTATTATACTTTTTGAATTTGCTGTGGGCCAACTCAAAATGGACAACGGGCTGCAGTTGGCCCCCGGGCCGTAGTTTGGACACCCCTGATTTAGACACTAGAGCAAATGTGTAATAACAACGTCTACGTAAACCTTTGAGGATTACTGACAGATACATAATCTCCAACTTGAAGGAACTACACAAGTTTCATCAAACCAGTAGCCTTTTTAATAAAGTCAAATATGAACACTAATTGAGTCGAAGCAAAGTATTTTATGATTTTCTTCTCCATCTGGGGTATGAGGTTTTCCTGTTTTGTCAACGTTGCCAACTTTTTGCGAATATAACAAACGCAACAGGGCACATACAGATCGTGATGCGAGCATACTTATGACCAAAATCAGTTTCTAGTTGATATAAGGTCATACTGGTAAACAGCCTATCATAAAATAACCTTACAAATGTTGTTATTATAATTTAGTGTTTTTGGCTGAAATACGATACAACTGTCCTCCACGGCATTTACAACCGGATGTTGCTTATCTCTCCCACACAAGGAAAAAACACGTTAATATTTTTTATGCCACATCTGGAATAATTTGAGCAGTGATTAAAATGCTGCCAAGAAGCCACATATGTTATATATATATATAAAATATACATGAAAGCATTATATGAAATAGATTATATGCTATTTTTGCTTGAAAAATAGGACATCACTGTGTTAACGTATCACATACTGTCAACAAGTTGTTGTGTGCCAGTTTAATCCATGTGAAAGCTAAATTAAGGAGCTGCCCCACGTTACAGAATATTTACTCTAATGTGAGCAGAAGCTGGCAGCAGTCAGCATCAGCACTCTGGAAATAAAAAATCCTGTATCAAAACATGACATTTTTTATTGTAGAATAAGATTGTAAGATACCAGAGTTGGCCTTAGAACGAAGATAGGACTGTTGTTGTTACAGTAAACAAGACAATATTCATCCAGCATATGGAAACTTGTTTTTAATATGGTTCGTCTTTCTTGCTTGCCGATTGTATATATGTGTTGAAAAAATGTAATAATACTGCCACTCCAGCATCCGCTCTGCATCTGTTGCCATGGGAAACAAGATAAACTATCACCACGTTTTTTTTTTACACGTAATCTTTTCTGTCTAAAGCAGAAGCTGTTTTTGTGGAGTTTGGTATTTTAAAATGCATTTATTAAGACTCAAAACAATAATTCCTGTAGAAACATGCTTCTTCTGTTTAGGAGACAGACATATTTTACATACATTTAATTAATTAATTATTGTTCTTAGGCTACCATGAAAACTGATTCTCATGTGTAACGCTGACTGAAATATTCAGAAACATGATGATAACATGTGCTGATAGATCAGAATCAACCATGACGTAAAATGCAACTAAAAGATGCTTTTATTCAAAGGCGCTACACTGTAAATATTTGATATGGCCTCTTTCCCATATAGTTTCCATTCAATTAGTGGAATAAACTTTCAAGCATCACTAGAGATTTTCACTTTTTAAACATGCCGTGTAAATGCTGCTATAGATGGGGCAAGATGAGTCAAATAACTCATGAGCCAAGTCTTGTGATTGGTTCAAGTCTCTTTTTCAGACAGATATAATCGATTACGTGCTCGTCCTTGTAATTGTACGGCTTTCATTCACAGCACAGGTTAACCGTTTTTTCCCCCCTGAAATCTTACTACGTCTTGAGGTTGGAAATTGATCGTGCAGATTCCCCTAAACCTCCATGCGGGAACATTTTCCTGAATATTTCAGGGACAGATGCATGTGAGAAAGCAACTTGTGATTCCGTCTCAATAGTATTATTCCTTCCTTTTGGCGTTCCATCAGCAGCTGGCAGAGCCCCTCGTGTAGGTCCCTGCCTTTTTCATCAAAGCAGAGTCACATTAGCTTCCCATCCGTGACCCCTGCCTAAATATCTTGTTTGTTTGTATTATTTGTGACTCTCCACAGTGCTTTCAGCGGGGACTGGCTACATCTCATCTCAGCCAGTCGTGGTGCCATGTGGGACCGCTGGCTGGAGAGAAGAATGGGGGCTGTATGATGGAGGGACAGCTGCAGAGCCCCCACCCCCCATCTGGGCTCGGCTCACTGCAGCCTCAGGGACGGACTGTTGAACCCAAGCTGTTCTCGACATAAACAGAAAAGGAAACTCTGTGACTTTCAACAAAGAAGAAAAGTCACTCAGTATGTACTCTAAGATACGGTAGTAAGAGTAAATTAGTATTACAATGAACAGAAAAACATGGGGAAGAAGAAGTTATCTTCGTCTTTGAGCATACTACATTTTTATTGGGCCAATTCAATTGTCTATAAAACATCAGAAAATAAAAAACGTGACATCTTTGAATGTTGTTTTGTCTGAGTCTTAAAAATTTAATTTATAATAATAAAACTAACTGATTGAAGTCATCTAGTTTTTACTTAAATTATCAATTTCCATCATTTAACTAAATATTAGACGTCTAAACTCTAGTTGAAATAAAATGTAATTTTTTTAGGATCAAAGTTATAAATCTGACATAAAAGTCAGTCAATTTGACATGACATGTACATCTCTTAGTGGTTGACCAATCACAACAGAGCCGGCCAGCTAACCAATCAGAGCAGACTGGACTCTGGTTTCAGACAGAGGGTGAAAAGAGGTGCTGCAGCACAGACAGTATGAGAAGAATAAAGAGCTTTTTGAACATTAAAGCATGTAAACATGTCATAGTAGAGACACTACATACAAATATGAAAACTGGAAATGAGCATAATTGGGCCCCATTGCATGTTTTTAGCACTTTCCAGTTAATGGCATCACTGTTTCTAAATGATCTCAAACGTATATTTTGTTATTTATCAGTTGACATCTACGGCAAACCAATATATATATATCTAATATAAGCTAATCTTGGCTGGTATGCCAGCCCTGCTAATTTACCGATTCAATTGTCACAGTACGTTCACCACGAAGAATTGTAACCCGGCCCTTATTTGAAATCAGTATAGCTAGGTTTGGTATTTCCTCAAAGGTGCCACTGAATCACACACACACACAAATAAAGCTCCCACTGTACTGCTTCATGGAGCGCTGCGTTTCCTTACAAATGGACTCCTTATTTCAGTGTCAGACCAACTCCAGTGTTCAATCCATTCATGTGTTTCCTCCTGATTGCAGTGCACAGAGCATGCACACACTGGAGCTCATAAAAGCGAGTTGCTGTATATCTCACACACCTCTCATCACGTTGCCATCAGCAGATCTCGACTGAGGGGAAAACAATAACATAGGAGAAGAAGTATATGGCGGCAGTAATGACTGAACTAGACGCAGAGGAAAACAATGAGGATCTATCTGCACATATAACATGAGAGGAGTTAAAATAAATCCCACAACACCGCCTACAGAGCAGAGAGAGAACGTCTGTGATAGCTGATAAGATCCATTTTAGGGTTAATAAATGTAAACAGATTCTATTTCCAACCACAGACTCTAGAGAGCTTCTGCTTCGGGATTCAAACTATCAAATTAAACAGCATAACTCCCTTTATACATTACGCCACCATGTTATTTCTCAGCATGCTATGAATATGTTCAGAGGCTTGCTGCATTGGAATTCACTTTAATTGCACTCTAATTAAGCTAATAAACAAACAGAAGCCCAGGGGGACGCAATGATATAGCTGCATTTGGGAATGTCGTTTGTACAGATCACAATTGTTCGGCCTTGATTAGCTTCTCGGCCTGTTCGCATATTATTGGAGCACCCAGAGGTCGACATCCGGGACCCAGAGGGCTGCTCTGCTGCAGGCCTAATGAAATACTGCTCTCTGAAGTCCAGGATGCTTTTCAGCTCCCTCTGCTCTGTAGCATCAATCTTCATTATTTATTATTGGGCCTGCGGGATATTACTGAGAAGAAAGCTGTTTATCTTTGAGCCCAAAAGAGACAATGAGAGGAATGGAAAGGGAGCTCAGGAGGAGGTAACGGGTCGCAGTGAGGAACTCACCCGTCTGACACCCGGGCTCCTTGAACTCCCACTCTTTGTCTGACTAGTGTACTAACAGCACTTTGTATTTTGTCGCTGAGTTAACAGTGCCAATAGTGTGATGTCTACTTCATAGAGAAATAAACAACACTCAATTCATCAGTCCATTCATGCGGTGTCATGGCAGGACCTTCTTTGTGTGGGCTGATTGAATTTGAAGCGAGCCTATTGTTCTGAAGCCTCATTCCCATGCATGCTATTGTCCGACGCCTCCTGCCTGTGATTTAAACTGCTTCTCCAGGTAAGCAGGTGTCACGTCTATTCCTGAGGCTAGCATAACGCTTGGTGATCACGCTCCATAGATCAGACCAGATGTCCCTGTTTGAATGATAAAGAGCGCCTCCCATGGCATTTGTTACTTTTATCCTGGCACCAGATGACAAATAAATGACTGTGCTTGTAACGCCGAGGCAGGGCGCGCTGAAAAGGGGCTATGAGCACATACGCCGCTCGATAAGGTGAATCAGGACCCGGAGGAAGTGGAGCATTTAATTGCTCTGAAAGACGTGTCAACGTGGGCTGTGAGCGAGGCTTTGTGCGGCCTGCCATTTACAGTAAAATGATTATGAGGTGTTTTTCTTTGACATGGTAATTCCTTAAATAAGGAACATTGTTTATGTAAGAGCTCAGAGAATCAGTCACAGGGTTTGTTTGTTTTCTACATGAAGCCTAGCACAGCAACACCAGCTACTTTGTGAGGCAGTCAAACCTCACAAGTGCTCCAAATGAATCAACAAAATACAGTTTTATTGAATCGTCACGGTTGCAGGTGATGCCTCTTTCCTCGGGATGACATTATGTCTGTAGAAACAATGCATCTGTTTTCAGTGGTGGAAGAATTACTCAGATCTTAGAAGAAAAATAGCAACTCTACATAACTCTGTACAGCCCTGCATTCCAAATCCTATTCAAGTAAATAGTACACAAAATGTAGCATCAAAGGAGACTTTAAGTATCAATAGTATAAATATACAGAATGAAACATTTGTGAATAACCTATTGCTGCATTAAAGTCATTGGTGCGTAAATGTGGCAGCTGGTGAAGGTTGGGCTAAGTATAGGAGCTGATGATATAATGACCCTTTACTGCTTTTATAATAACTCATAATGATATATCACAATGTATTAGTTGATTATATATTGGGTTTTAATCATCCAGATCTGCAAGGTAACTGATGGTTTAAAATGAATGTTACTTTGGTTAATATAACAACTGCATACGATTAAGGGGAGAAGAAAGGCAGTCTATATACTGTTGCAGCGTCTCAATGCTTCTTTATTTGCCTAATATGTCACTTTAAAGAGCACATATTATTCTAATTGTAAGGTTCATAGTTGTATTTTGTCTCTCTACTGTGACATGTCTCCATGCTTTAATGTTCAAAAAGCTCTTTATTTTTCTCATACTGCCTGTGCTGCAGCACCTCTTTTCACCCTCTGTCTGAAACCAGAGCCCAGTCTGCTCTGATTGGTTAGCTGGCCGGCTCTGTTGTGATTGATCAACCTCTTAGAGATGAAGCTTGAGTGTTACATAGTGATGTCACTATGTTACAGAAGTATACAAGGGAGTCCATTCGAGGCGTTTCAGACCATTGACATGAACTAAAACACATATTTAACACACTACAGGAAAGGGAAAACTCAAAAAGCAGAATAGGGCCTCTGTAATGTAAAATGTGTTGCTTCAGTGGACAGGACTGAAAGCACCGATTGCTGTCTCTGTTCTTCAGAGCAAAGTCTACAGTATAAGGAAAAAAAAGAAGAGAAAAACATATTAAAGTGTGAGTTAGATTAAGTTCTCACGACTAGACATTCAAAAGCCCTCTGGGATATTAAATATGATTATTCTCTCTTAAATGAGGAAAGAAAAAAATGTAGGACATTTCCCTGAAGCAAGATTTTGTCTTCCATTTCATGTCTTACCTTAACAACGCTGAGGGCAATGGTGGAAGTTTTCAAAATGATAAAAGTGGAACTATCTCCCAGACATTGTGTACACCGTTTCTTTATGCAGGGAATAATAATTAAAGAGTGAGTCATTATTATTTGGAAAATGATATATTTAAGCTGGTGAGGGAAGTATTTAGGGTTTAAAATGAAATGAATCTGAGGTATAGGAGGAGGAAAAGAAGAAGAAGTAGAAGAAGAAGAAACAAAAAGTAGGTCTTCACTTCACACCCTTCAAATATTTTCTTTGCTCTCCTTTCTATTTTACGATTCAAAGCCATGCTAGCAAATGGATTACCTCATCCTCCTAAAAAAGCTGTTCACTCTCTGTGATTGTATAATTCTCTTTCATCTTCAGAGAGAGGAGATGGCATGATTAAACAAAGAACTCGCTGATATGCACGGCTGGCGGCTGCTGCTGTTGACATGCGCCCTAAGATGCGCAACAGTTAAATAAAAAAATAATGTGCACTTCAAACTTGAATTGCTTTTCCTTTATCGCGCAAAATGATCAAAACTGTTTTTTTGTGACATTTCTGTAAACTTTCCTGAACATGTTGAGCTCAGCAGGACTCTGGTTGTTTTCAACATGTTGCTGCTGTTGCTCAGTTTAGGTTAACAGCAGGAGATTTACGTATGGTGCAGGAGAAAGCCAATATGCAGATTCACAGAACTTTGGACTTTGTAGTGGTAACACAACATGCAGCATATGAAAATAAGCTATTGTACTGCTGGTCACATACTGCAATATTAATGTAATTCAATTGGCTGCAGTCCTATGCAGATTTTCTGCAATGCTGTAGACTATAAAAAATATTTTTGGGGGGCTGAGCTCGACACAATGCGCACACTCGATTTCTCAAGAGCGTTTTTCCACAAGGTTACTATCACAGCCAGTTTTCCAGGCCAACGTTTTGATGCATTGTTTTGTTTAATCCCAGAGGGAAGGAGGTAAGGATTAATTTGTTGCATCTGTCAGACCCATTGCTGGCACCGCTGATAGTGCCCGTGCCAGTATGAGGCTTTTCCCTCACGACCGTCCCTCTTGTAACCATTGAGCCCCTTTTGTTGCTCTGCCAAAAGACCGCTTTCAACCAGATCTGCGCATTTCTACTCTCATTGTTTGGCCCCTTTGGCTTTGTACCCACACGGATTTGACTCAATGTGAGTTCTAAGCCCAGCTTCCATGTCCATGCCCCCTTTGCATCCCTCTTGACCTGTAGCCTCCCAGTGCTCCAAGTAGATGTGATCCACGCCACGGTTCACGCCGTAAGGCACATTGATCTGACACAGGAATATAAGTGTTAGAGTGTGTTTGTGTAAAGAACTCAGGGGTCTCTGATGCACTGTGGCAAACAACCATCACATATATGTGAGTCCGAGGCTTGCATGTATTTATTAGAAAAAGCACTTATGAAACTCTGTGTCCACATTTGGTAGGTTGTAAGCATATATAATATATATACGTTTATTTAAACATGAGGCTTCTACATGCCGTCCCTATTTTCAGTTGTTGTTTTAGCTTCATTTCAAAAAGGGGTCTTTTCATAAAATAAAGGCAGAGTGGAATATGTTAGGTAGAAAATGAACATTAAAGGTCTGCTGAGACTGAGGGAAAACTATAAACATTGCTGAACTGTAGTTACAAATATATTCCACATTAGTCCAGTAGTGAAAGTACTTATGAGTATTTTGAAATGATAATGTACAGTAAGTACTTTTAAAGTCTGTTTTAAGGAGTCAGAAGCTAAAATGGTATTACTGGTTGTGTCTTTGAAAATGCATCATATTTTACACAGCCATATGTTTTGAATGCAAAATGTATTCTGCAAAGTAGAACTATAGTCAGATACATTTTGTTTACTTAGAAGTATAATAATCAGAACGTAGAAAATGCAAGTACGATGAAATACCTTCAATCAGAAATGAACAGATTTGATAAAAAATGTATATGTATCTCGGAAGATTTCTAAAACCCTTGAAGTATTGCCATGAGTTTGAAATAAAAGCTGTTTGACAAAAGGAAAATAAACACACACAGTTGTAAGCTCACCTTTTCTGTGGACTGTGAAGTGCCAAAGAAGATTGGGATGAAAGCTAGCCATATGATGCAGGTGGTGTACATGGTGAAGCCAATGGGTTTGGCCTCGTTGAACGTCTCCGGCACTCCTCTGGTTTTAATGGCGTAGACTGTGCAGGTGACCATGAGCAGCATGCTGTAGCCCAGCAGGCAGATGAGAGACAGGTCAGAGATGTCACACTTGAGCACACCGCGAGCCAACGTCGGGTCAGGCGCCCGCTGGTACTCATAGTCAATAATGGCCTTGGAGGGATCCACGCCGAACCATATGCACACACCGAGCAGCTGCATCGAGGCCAGGCTGAAAGTGATGATCAGCTGGGAGGCGGGAGATATTAACTTGGGCGCACTGACAGACATGCTCCCCTGCTCGAAGATGCGGTAAATACGATTGGTTTTGGTGAGCAGGGCAGCATAGCTAATGCTCATGCCCAACCCCAAGAAGATCCTTCGGAGGGAGCAGATTCCAACATCAGGGGTGGAAATCATCAGGAACGTGGTGGCGTAACAGAGGAAGATCCCCGTTAGCAGCACGTAGCTGAGCTCCCGGCCTGATGCTTTCACAATGGGAGTGTCATTGTAGCGGACAAAGGTGACCACCACAAACACGGTGGCCATGATGCCAAGGACCGCGATGAGCACGGGGATGACGGCCCATGGGGAGCTCCACTCTAGCTTGACGATGGGGATTGGAACGCAGTCCGTGTGATTGACGTTGGGCCGCAAATCAAAGCGGCACATCTTACAGGTGAAGGTGTCCGCCTGGTACTGATAGCCGTCGCAGCGCTCACAGTGCCAGCAGCACGGGATGCCCTTCACCACCTTTTTGCGCTCGCCCAGCTGACAGGGCAGGCTGCAGATGGAGGACGGGATCTGACGGACACCGCCGGGCCACTGCATGGAGCGGACCTGTGAGGGAGGCAGAGGGACACAGATAGATGTTAAAGGTCACCAATTGTGCAAAATCCACTTCTTCATTTCTTGTATACATAAACATGTGTCCCCTCTGTGTAAAGAGATTCTGAGAGTCTCAGGAAAAAAGATTCACTCTCTTTTTGTCCTGATCCATTTATATAAAAACCTGTCTGAAAATGAGCAGATCAGATTTTGGCCACTTTATGATGTCATAACGATTTTTTGGCTTGTGTAACCATTAGCCAATAACCAACCAAGGTAACCCCCCCACCCACCTGATCACCTGCATCTCCTCCTAGAGCACCATTGTGTTCTTTTTAACCAAATATCTCTCAGAGGGGCGTGGGGAGTGGCTCCTTATTTTCATCTAAAGTAACAGACAGAGAATCAGCACTTTTGAAACAGGGCCGAAACAGAGGGGATTATGGGATGCTACAATGATCTGTTTGGTATTTGGAGGCAAACACTTCAGAGACATCTTCTGTATATATCTGAGACCTATAATATATTGATGAAAAACAGTAAAATAGGGGACCTCTAATAGACGCAGAGAGCAACAAAGATAGAAGAGAAGAGATTTGTGGAGTACTAAACTGTCATTATTCTATAAACGGTGGCATGTAGAGATAGTGATGTGTTATTGATCCCCTGAACCTCTGGAGATTAACGACAATCTTGACGCTGGTTACTTCCGGTGTGGTTGTTTGATCCTGGCTGCTCACATGCTATTTTTATGTTTTTATTTGGGTGGGGGTGGGAAAGGGCAAACTAGGGGGTCAAATAAAGCATTTTCATCGACGCAACACTCTCCAGTGGGAGGTCAAATTATACAAAGGGCAAGACCCGAGAGGAAACATGTAATATATTGTTTGCTCCGCAGGGAACTGACACCGTGTTTCAATTGTTTTCCCATTTTGTAAATAGTTGTCCGTGTTTAAAGAAAAATCTGTACTTAGCCACGATCAGAGCAATAAAATATGAATTCTGTTTCAGGATTACTACTCCCCTTGTGGATTTTCCCCTTGTACAAGCACACTTGTCAAGATATATTACGTCATTTCAAACGGGTCGGCTCTCTTTGAAGTCATGTTATCAATTATTTTCAATTGTGGTTGTTCATTCAAAGCCGGTAAATGTGCCTCTAAATGTGCATTTAATTAAGAACTCAAAGAACACTAATTAAATGCGGCTTTAGAGCTGGCACGTTCCACAGTAGGTGCCCACCGCAACCGCTGCTTTTCTTCTTCCACAGCACGTTGTTGAAGGCAAAGCACCTCTCAAACGGCCTCATGTATTCATTTGTACTCTTTTTTTATATTGCCTGCCCAAGGCTTCCTCTTCATTTTGTCAAAACATTTCTTGTTTGGTTTCTTTCATTCAATTTACTGTTATAACACCGTTACTTCATCATAGCCCCATGCCCACAGTATTGTTTTTTTTTGGAAGTCAGTGATGCCGTCTGGAGAGATGATATTAAATATGTCTGTCCTTAAGCTCTCATGGCTTTCTTTTCATCACAGTCCGCCCTGTTAATCATTTAAAGTGCACTCTGGATATTTACACCTTTGAAGATGGCACTAAGCGCTATCAAATGGTTCGGGTGGAGTTAGGGAGCAAACACGCAGCTGAAGAGCCGGAGAAAACAACTTTGCAGAGATTGATTTTTCATTGCAAACACTAATGCAAACATTAAGCGTGTAGACTTAATGCCATCAAGCCCTTTGTGTTGCTTTGAGGTGGCATGGTATAAAAAGATAAATGCTCACGTTGAGATTGAGTTGATCCGTCCATTGGCCGATTATTTTGTATTCGGCTGTTTGGTTTCTGATCTGGTATTGGTAGATCTCGTAGCGTCCGGGAGCGTCTCCGTTCTCGTTGAAGAGCACTGGGTTTCCAGCTATGCCTAAATGAGAAAACAATCATCATCACCAACATTTACTGCACATCATCGTGTTATTTCCTGTGTGGTGAGCATGAGTCTGTGAGGGCAAACAAATGTGTTGTCATTGATACTGCAATTGTTATTCCACTACATTTGAAACCAAAAGGATGCTTGTGAGTCAGAGGCATGTTTTCCTTATCATTTAGCAGAGAACATCCACTCAACTGTTTTCTTTTAAGAATAATTTCATTATGTTCATCAATTATTATGTTGAGATGTGTGTGTGTCTTGAAGTCGGGGTGGTAAATCTACGCAGAGCTTGTTTAATTTCCTGCCAGAGACTTCTGTTGTTGTCCTTTCACATACCAAAAATGAACGTTAGCTTTCACCCAGTTTGTTTTCCTCTCACTGATGACTGTTTCCTCTGATTTTATAAACAATTATCCGCTCAGAGCTCTGTAGGTGGGATACAGAATGGGGACATTATCTTCCTACATAAGTATCTCGCAACCTAGTTACATCCATGAAAAGTAGTGATAGAATATTTTCCAAAAAACGGCGACAAGCGTGGAATGAGATTGACACAGTCTGGCAGGGTTTTGTAACAGTGATTCATAAGCATTTTGTTTTTCGAGTGTCGTGAAAAGTGTTAACTGCTTAACAGCTTTTGTGGATGCGACATCAATTGCCCCTGATTGGATAGAGCAAAACAAAAGATCCCTCCTCCCAAAAAGGTCTTTATTTGAAAAGCAAGCATGCCCAAAAGACCCATAAAGCTATTCATATAATTATACAGTAGCAGCAGTGTTATGCTGGTAGTGTTGCTGCTTTATTCTCTTAAAACCACCAGTGAGGCATTCAGGGTCCATTTTCCTCTTTCAGTGACAGTGGTGTCCATATGAGCAATTACAGGCTCGAAAACATAACCCAAACCATGACAGTGGATGTCTGATTGCTTCAAAGAGCTTTTAAAACCTGAGGAAATTGGAGGAAAAAAAGCAGAAAAAGGCAGAAAAGATTGGCACGATTACATGTTTTGATAGAAAGTGTGACAGCTTAGCAATAGTGTTGATGTGCTTAATATTTGTATGTAAACATAATGCCTCTCGGCTTTATAAAGTCACTGTAATCCTCCCATGATCACCAACTGCTTTGTGATGTGGGCGGCATTGTCACAGATGCGAGGCGGAGAGAAGCGATAATCCAGCAGCCCTGACTCATCGAGATGTGGATTAGAGCGCGGCTTCCTCCAACGTTGAAACAAAGAGCAAGAACAACAAAAAAATACCCATCAGCAGAAATCAATCAGCAGCAATTGGCTACGTTTTACTTCTCTTTTTTGTCTTTATTTACCGGGATGCATTCTGTTGTTCGCGGCTTAATAATAAATCAGCTTCCATTAGTACTTGAAGATATAGAGGTTTGTTAAAGTTGATAAGCATTTAGACAGGAAGTTCCCTACTTCTCCCTCCAAGGAGAACCTATTCACGTTGTACTATGATTACATGGATCTATGGACCGAAAGTGAGAAATCTGTGGTGTGATTTTCTTGGTGACACATCATAACCACTTTTCTTGAAACGGCACACGTTAAAAATATTATTCTACTTCAAAGTCACATTTGTTTTTTTTAACCATAAGATGTACTAAAAATATTGGCCCATGTGTAATTCTTTTTTAAAACCATATTTTTTCGCTAATTTTTGATCTGGTTTATAAAAACTGTTGTTCATAAACTGCACAGATCATACAATGCTCTTGCTTTTGTCTGATAGTAACGACAAAGTGAGAAAAACAAGTAATCGGCAATTACATCCACACACTGAATACAGGACCGCTGTTCCAACACCAGGAGATTTCTGGGAAAAGCATTGCTCTTAAAATACAACAATATGTGGTTATCACCAAATATTACCACTCAAAGTGCCCCATGACGTTGTAGTTTGTGTGTGACAGCAACATTACTTATTATTTCCTCCTAACACAGCACAATGAGACCGTTTGAGGACAGCTGAATAATTGGAATACTTCTCTTATTGCAATTTTCACATTTTGACAAGTTATCAGATGGTATTGTGTGCTCTCATAGCTCTCCAGTGGTATCCATAATAGTACAACAAAGGAAAAGCACAAATCTGTCTTCTTTGTCTTCAGTGCCAAATTGACACTTTGAGGCACTTTGGGGAAATACTGCTGTTGTTCTGCTGGCAGTGGTGTTGTCCTCTTCATTAAAAGTGAAGAGTGGTGCATTTTGGGGCAGTACGGTCAATGTTTGAGTTGCAGATGAGGAATTAGGCCTGTCATGTGGCACAAATTGCTTGTCTAAACAGTCCTCTCACTAGTCGGGGGCATAATGAGCTCCACAGAGGCTTCTGCCGCTGCATTGTGCTCTGCTCTAATGTGGCGAGGGAGCGGGGGGGTCGCGGGGGGTCGCACATGCATGCGTGTTCCTCGCTACTCGTTTCCTCTGAAGGAAATGTTGGGGTTAATGAGGTGCTGGTATGTAATATTTAATTATTGTTGTTATACCCACCTACCACCCCCCTTCTCTCTCTTCCACCTTAAGTATTAAAAGAGAATGATTATTAATTCCACGTGTGGTTGCTCTGCACGGATGCACAGAAGGGACACCTTGGTGAATGGCAGTACAGGTCATTAACAGGTTCCTTTTCACTGGGCTTTAAATGTAGGCGTATTCAATATGTGGTACATTCAGCATTATGCATGTTCGTTTGCACAGAATCCTGCTCTTAGTTTCTCTTTTGTTTCCAATTTTTACTAATAATTCAAGTGTATTTGTAAGCGAGTCATTTCAATTGTATTCTTGTATCATCATACATTTTAAATTGCAGAGAGAAGAGGAGATGCACCAAGTACCTCAGGAATAACCATACAGGTGAACTATCATTTATAAACTAAAAAGGATGTGAAAAGAATCATATTCAGATATGAAACTTAATGAAAACTATAAAACAAATAATATTTCCTGCATGAAAGGGTTGAATTAAGTTACTATTTGTTTGAGTTAACACTTGCTGTAGGTGTTATAAATTCAAAGCCCACCCACATCTATGCTCCATCATAGGATGGGATTTAATGTGCAACATCAGGGCAGGAAGTGTTGAGTTTCATTGAAGGTAACTTAATTAGAAAATAAAGTGGATAAAAACAGTATTTCCGTTACAGAAGATACACTTAGAGCAGTGCGTTTGACATGGTGTGGTGTGAACGTACAGATAATCCTGCATGTATCAAGAAAGCTAGGTAAAGATAAATCTTCTTCACTTTCAAAAAAATATGTATTTAAATAATGTGCTTCTTCAAAGGGGACCTATTATGCAAAATCCACTTTTTCATGTCTTGTATACATCAACATGTGTCCCCTCTGTGTAAAGAGATTCTGAAAGTTTCAGGAACAAAGCCCCCCTCTCTTTTTGTCCTGAACCATTTCTATAAAAACCTGTCTGAAAATGAGCTGATCAGACTTTGGCCACTTTATGATGTCATAACGATTTTTTGGGTTGTGTAACCATTAGCCAATCACCAACCAAGGTAACCCCCCCCCCACCTTATCACCTGAATCTCCTCCTAGAGCACCATTGTGTTCTTTTTAACCAAATATCTCTCAGAGGGGCGTGGGGAGGGGCTCCTTATTTTCATCTAAAGTAACAGACAGAGAATCAGCACTTTGGAAACAGGGCTGAAACAGAGGGGATTATGGGATGCTACAATGATCTGTTTGGTATTTAGAGCCAAACACTTCAGAGACATGTTTTGTATATCTGAGACCTATAATATATTGATGAAAAACAGTATAATAGGGGACCTTTAAATTGTGACAAAGTGTATACTAACAGTAGAGATGAGTCATCAAGTCAGCAATGGATGTAATCTTACATTAGCCATCATCAGATGTATTAAATCAAGTAAGGCTGCATTTCATTACTTTTTTATTGAAAGATTGTGTTGTATCTTATTTGCAAAGATACATAGTCTTGCTTTAATGGCAAGACTATTATTTTTGACTATGCGTTCTATTAAATCAAATAACTATTCATATCATATATTGCACTGTAACTTTTATTATTGTACTTTATACCCGTCTTATTCTATTTGAGCTTATTTTATTTGTTTGCTGTTTGGAAATGTATTTAAATGCACTATATCTCAATGCTTTTAATGTGTATTGAATAGCACTTTGAATTGCCTTGTCCTGATTTGCAGTTTAAATTAATTTGCTTTGCGTTGCTTGCCTTAACAAATGGGAACAGGGTTACAAAATGGAGAAGCAAAAAAACCAAAACAACTTAAATACGATAAGAAATACTTAAAAAATTCGGAAAAATTCATGTCCCGTCTACAAGAGAGCTCATGGTTCTTCTGTTTAGTTTAACATGGCTTTACTCAACCTTTCTATATTTCTTGTAGTGTGTGTACAACAACAGGTTCTTCAGTTACCACACTATGATGAATGGGCTTTCTATTTAAAGCTGTCCATTCTTGTCATATTGAGACGCCGATAGTCATACATTTTTGTGAATAACAGGTCTGTGTGTCAGGCAAAACTGACATTTTGCATTATGCTAAAAAGCTGTCTACTGGAAGCATCTTTTGAGCTGCACACAATGAAGACTTTGCACATGCCTGAGAAGAGAGAGATAGGTGTGCAGCGATGGGAAAACCTTCAGATCTCGTCTCTATTCCACCGTCATAACAGCCGTCCCTGGTGAGAGCGACTGCAGAGAGGACCCTGCTTTTTACTCTGAGGCAGAGCAAAAGCACTTTTCCCTGACATGACAGCGAGAGACATGACACACTGATGAGGAGCTTCATTCAATTGTGGCCTATTGAAGTCTGAACAACTCTTAGACACATTGAATGCAGAGGTGGAAAAAAGAAAGAAGGCTCTGCATAGAGTCAAGCGGCACGTACATATGGACCAGAGGTGTTTGAGTGTTGCATTTAGATGCTATAGATGTTATTGCAGACGTTTTATTCAGTTTTGTGCCGATGCATTTTCC